TTTTGAACAATCTACTCACTAATATCTCATTCGATAAATGTCATTCAAGTACAGTGAATACATTGATAATCTCTCACGGTGAGTATGATATTTCTGAAAATCTGTCCAAATTGATTGAAGCGAATCATGACAGTTTGACAACTATTATAATAGAAAATTCGACTATTCAAGCAAATATCTTGACAGTAATCAAAGATAAATGTTGCAATCTTCATGAACTGTCATTTTGGCGAAGTAAACTAAAGCTAAATAATTTACTCCCGGACATTGTATCCAATAATGCAAATCTGAAATATATAGAATTGGGTCATTGTGAAAATATTGGTGATTTAAATAATACATTGAGTTATACTAAAAAATTGGAAAAATTAAAACAAATTGGACTAAGAAAGCAAAACTATGAAATAAGACCACTTTTAAAAATTCTGGAAAAAAGACCTAAATTATTAATGTTGGATATTGCGAAATGTGACTTGGGCGATGAGGCAATAAATAAACTCACCAGTTATATTGAAAGGCAAAAATTATATAAATTAGGTCAATTGATTCTCAGACAAAATGGTCTTACTGAAAGAAATTTCAATTCTGAAGGACTTTGTAATGCATTAGAGACTTTGCCAGATTTGCATACATTTTCAATAAGTGAAAATAAAATTGGAGATGTGCATTGTAAAACTATTCTCAATGGCTTATCTAAATCGTGTAAGAATCTTCAACAACTTTACATTCACAACTGTAATGTTACAGGAGCAATTGGCGAAAGTTTTGTATTATGTATTAAAGAATTAAAACATCTTAAACATGTAGAACTCAATAGAAACAAATTCAATGAGAAATTCTGCAAAATTGTACAATCTTTCAATGAGAAATCATTGTTGATAACGCTTAAAGTGGCGACTGTCAAATTTCCGAAAACTCTATGGCGTAGTTTGAATTCTAAAGAAAAAACACCTCAACGTTGTGAATCTGCAGAGGAGATTGTAGAATCATTTAAGAATTCTTTCAGTAAAACAGTCAACTTGACACATCTCGATCTAGGCAATAACAACTTTGGAGATGCCATTGGAAAAATTCTATTTGAGCAACTGTCTAAAAAGACAGTAAATTTACAAATTCTTTTATTGAACAATTGTAAATTTACACATAAAATTGGTAAACCTTTAATTGGCCTATTGAAAAGGTTACAAATGCTCAAAGAGTTGAATATATTGTACAACTTTGGTTATATTTTACATGCTTGAACTCTATTATTTTATGCAACATATACATGTACATCTTAAAACCTACGCAAGAAAATGCTATAACATTGGCCAAACATAAGTCTGATTAGTCAGCTTGAAGGCTCATCTTTAATTACCAATAAAGGTTTGGCCAAGTTATAATTTAATTAACTTGCCTAGGGTGTGGCCAAGTTATAATTCAATTAACCTTCCTAAATGTTGAACCTTGTAACATCCTGTTACTAAAGATAAATATGAACTACACATTTTGGCAACTGTAAAGTGATGATTGGATGTCAGAGACAAACCTCAAAGTATATAAATCCTCATTATTCTCATTTGGCATGCAGCTTCCATCTGGACCCAAGGACCTGGGAAAATCATCTGGAAACAACCTCCACTGGAACCATCCATCTACTCCTCAACATTGGAAGACAGTTTGGTAATTTGGCAACCTGCTATTACAAACTATCTACTCTGCTATTGAACTCTCATATTGTTACTTGCTTAAGTATTATTATTGCGAATAAACCATTTTAATTTAAACATTTGTTTAAAGGTTCGAGTAGAACCAGTATTGTTATAACTTGCAAACGCATAGATTTTGCCAGCAAGAGCAGTACAATATGTGAAAATTCTTTGGGAAAGAGCGGTCAAAAGATTTTATTGTGTTTGCATGAATTTTGTAAAAATGTTAGCAAAATTAACATGAATAATTGTAATTTAGAATTTTCCATTTTTTTTGGAATAGTTGAATATATAAAACTACCAAAAAAGCTTACACATCTGTATTTGAAGAGTAATTCAAAACTGAAAAATACTGATGATTTGTGGAAATCTATTTTCTATTATATAGAAACAAAGGATACTTTGAATTTTAAACTAATATTTAATGCAAAAAATGATTTGGAATTTGCAAGAAAAACGGCGGCGAAAATGCAAAATGTTGCTATTCTTGATTAATTAACAAGTAGGATGATTCGACAGAAAACGTCTGCTAAAAAGACTTTTGAATGATTTGATTGATTTTGTGTTGAAAATGGCTTGGAAGAATAAGGCAGTTGTCATCTAAAGGTTACACTTGGGATATGAAACTAAGATATTAGATTGTATTTTCCACATTTTTCAATCATTAACAAACAAATCCCCAGCATAATTGAACACTAGTTTTGACTTTCACCTATATTATTCACTGGAAAAAATATATTCTTTCTCTCTCTCTCTCTTTCTCTTTTCCTCTAATGACATTTTAAAAAGCTTGACGAATAATAATATTTTTACCTTATATATTGAAAAGCAAAAGCATCAAGTATATCAGCAATTGCAGTAGTATCAAAAAGTAAAGAACATGTCTTTTGAGACATCTATCCGTAATTTACTTGGCACTAATTGCGTACTGTTTACCTTTAAATTTTTTTCCAATCCACAAATTTAATGATTTCAATGATCCAAAACTATTCTGAGGTCCGAACATAGCCAAAATTGTTGAGAAAAATCCCAAAGCCCACAAAATTGAAAAGCCAATGGTAGCAAACATAAAAGCCCCAAATTCTACAAAAAACAGCAGATCTTCTAATAGTAAGAAAAAAGAGGCTCCAAGTGTTATAGCTCCAGGAAGAACTGAAATGCCAACTTGAGTCAACATATCTTTTACTCTTTCTTCTCGTGACCCATAAACTGACCTCGAATAACCCTCGGCTAAATGCACAATATAATCAACAGCCAATAATCTCTAGTAAAAAAGTATATAAAGTTTTTTTTCTTTTTATTTTCCCGTCTCTATCTCTTAATAATGACAAAATTTACTTGTTCATTGATGAAATTCTCCCATTTATCCCTAATTTCTAAACCTTTCGTATATCCAATGCGATTCCTTTCAATTGTTGTAAATACAACAATGGCAGCGTCTTTAAGCTTTGTTCCATAGACAATTGTCTCTAAATTAACATACTTACTTTAAATTTCAATTTAAAATGTTTTATTTCCGGTTCACCAATCTATTGATTGCTTTTGCTAGAAAATTTTTTATGTAATTTGAATAATTTGTGTACAACCAATAAATTACTGTTACATGATAGATAGGAATTTTTCAATGAACATTCAGACAGTTAAAAGAAGATATTGTTGTAAAGGATACAGCGAAGAATGAACTTAGCACTATTTTGAAAGAATGACTGAATGATTAACAATAGCCTTTAAAGTTTTTCTAAAAGAATACGCTAGATGGCGCTTAGCAATTTATTATTTGTTAGGTTTTAGAGTAGTAATATTAAGTCAAAATAATTCATCAGGAAAGATTGAATCATATCTCAGCGAGTAATTGCCAAAAAAATGGAGATTTGCCAAGAGGCTGTTGGGAAGATGATTGAGGAGCTGGAATACAGAAAAATAAAGGTGCGCTATCCCATAATCTTAAATAAGGGAAGAGTAGCAGTTATGTTCAGAAAATTAACCTCTAGCATTACTAAAAAGAAGAAAAAAGGACACTGAGCATCTTAAGTTTTGCAAAGAAGAAGCAAATTCATGGCAAGCATACTTTTAGTTGAAACATAATATATATACAATATATATATATATGTTGACCAAGTAAATGCATGAGGATTAACTGCCATACCAGTTTAGCTCACAAGAGAATACTAATGAGAGAGAAGCAATTGGTTGCTATTGCACTGCTCTTGCAAATTTATGCATTTGCAAGTTACAACAGTACTGGTTCTACTCTAACCTTTTAACAGAAAATACTTAAGCTCGTAACAATAGAAAAGTTCAATAGCAGAGTAGATAGTTCGTAATAGCAGGTCTCCAAATTACCAAACTAGTGTCCATTGTTGAAGAAATAGAAGACTTGTCCCAGTAGGGTTGTCCAATCACAAAACTAGTTTATATTTAACCTTAGGAGTAATATGTTACAAAAATGAACACTTGAGAAACTAATTAATCATAGTTTGTCCCATCCTTAGACCAGCTCATCAATCACAACTTGGCCAAACCCTAAGTGGCACTTAAAGATGAACTTTAAGTATGACAAGGCAAGGTCTGAGTTTGGCCAAAAGGTGATTGTATTTCTGGCCTAGGTTTTTGAATAAGTACATGGAAAAGTGGTTTTTATTGTATCATTGATAAAAGCATCAAATATATTGAAAGTTGTACAATATATTTCTAATGAAATTTGATATTTTATTTATTTTAATATATATGAATTTCAAAACAACGAAGTAGTTAAAAATTTATTAATTGAAGCATTATATCTGTAAAAAATCTGTAAAAAAATGGATGAAATTTCCAGAAAATGAACGAAATCTCCTGAAACCCCATACAATATGTAGAGATGCTGAAGAGATTGGGGAAGAGACTACATAGGATAAGGCTGAATGAATAGGGGTGAAACCGTACCCATTGAGGGTGAAATCGTACCCATTGTGGGTGAAATCGTACCTGGATGAAATTTTAACTGTCAACATGAGAAAATCAAAATATGAAATAATTAATTTATTTGTTTTAACAAATATGTGATATACAAGTACCAGTTTTTTTCAGGTCAGCCATTTTGAATTTGTTTGTTGATTACTTGATAAGAGAATCTTGAAATAGTATTATAAATATTTGTTTCAAAGTTTTCTGCTGCTTTTAAAATAATAAATTAAACATTTCAAATCTGCACATTTTGAAATGTGGCAATCAAGTGCAAAAATTGCAAACTTACAGTTTATGGAAGACAGAAGAGAAAATTCTGTTTGCTATGTAATGAGCTTCTTCATGAAAAATGTATCATCAGTAAGAATTTTGTAATTCATCTGGTCAATTGTAAATATACAATTACTTCCTTTCAGATTCCAGGCTGTCAGTTTGTCTGGATTGTGAAAAAAGACAGTGTCTTCTTCAAATGACAAGACTAGAAGATCAAGGAATGAAAGAAAGAGTTGCAATGGATGAGAATGAAGATGAAAAGATTGATGAAGAGACAACAGATATATGGAGAAAGGAGAGGACTGGAGAGACCTGAGGAAGTTGATGGCTTTACCTTTTCTGCCTGCAGATATTATTACTCCTACATTTTTTAGCTTGAAGAGTCAGCTGGAAGAAAAGAGAAAATTTTCAGACTTGCTGGAAAATTATGAAAATACTTGGATTTTGAATTCTACTTGGAAACCATTGAATTGGTCAATATTTGGATTATCAATAAGGACTAATAATAGTATGGAAGGATGGCCCAATAGAATGAATAATAAAGTACAATCAAAAGGATCATTCTATTTGTTGATTGATGAATTGAAAAGAGAGGCTGATTTGGTTTGTATTTATGAAAAACTTCTCTCTGAGAAGAAGATTATCAAATATCAGAGAAAAAATATGGTGATATAGAGAAGAAAATATTTGAAATCTGGGATGATTATAAGCTTGGAAGGATATTAGCTGATGAATTATTAATCCAGACATCTTATATTTATACTCCATAGTTGCTATTATCTATTCTTTTCTTTAGTTAACTTATAGTATAATACCTCTTCAATACATACATTATCATATTTTTTTCATTTCTATATGAATCAACAATAACAGTTTTACTTGGTCACAGCAAGAGATTCACCACCAATGGGTACGATTTCACCTGGGTACGATTTCACCCACAATGGGTACGATTTCACCCTCAATGGGTACGATTTCACCCGGGCACGGTTTCACCTGTCACCAAAGCATATTATCGGTGTTCCCTGAAACGTTTTACTCAGCATACTCATGAACAGTATCATAATCAAAAAATACATAATCAGAGAATAGATCGCTCTCTTCAGAAATAGTGCTAAATGATGTATCACTGACAGGGAGATTTTCACAGGTTCCAGTTGCAAAAGAGAACTTTGTGGTTGCAGAATTTATGCATGGTGATCTCATACATTTTATCTCATTGGATACAACCTCACAATAGTTACAGTTTTCAATTGAACAAGCCACACAAGATTCTAAAATGGTAGATGAATTTCCATAATTGGAAGCAAACCCTTCACTACATTCCAGACATGTTAACCTTGACATCCTTTTCTTACAGTAATCACAGCCAACTGGACATGGAACACAAAGACCACTTGTATCATCATATGTATATTTTTTTTGACACATAGAAACATAGCAAATTGGAGTTGCTGCTGAATTATTTTCAAAGTAGCATTTATCACAATTATTGGGGCAAGCTATAAGAGTGGTATTGCAGACATTAAAATATTTGAAATAAAATCTGGCCTATGCTTGCATACCTGCACAAGATCCATCACTCCTTCGTGTCCATGATTTTCCATTCTCTTTTTCAGTACAAGAATGAACAGAATTTGCTCCAGTACATTCTGTCCTAAAGTTGGTAGAATTCCAAGTGCATTCATTACAATTATCAGGACACTTTGAACAAAGATTGTTTGAGTTTCTAGTATATTTTGGTTTGCATTTGTCAGCTCTACAAATGACATTGCCTGAAGAGACTTGACACTCCAAGCAGTTATCAGGGCATTTGTCACATGCATTACTGGCAAGAACTGTATACTCAGCCATACACTTTGAACATTTTAAACCATTACTAGTTTCCAGACAAGAATGGCAATTTCTTGGACAGGGGGAGCATGAATCATCTTTCATATAATAGCCAAGGTCACATTTTGTGCATATATTAGTATTACTGTGTGCTTCACATTCTAAGCAGGCAGAGTGGATGGAGCTGCACTTTATACACTTTTTAGATGTTGTCAGGGCATAGGACTTAGAGATGCATTCAGTACAAGTATCTTTATTGGAACATTTTGAGCAGCCAGTATTTGATGAAGAACATAATTTACATGTTGTTATATTGTTATTAGTTTCCATATAAGCATTGCTATTACAGGTGTTGCAAGTAATTCCTCTACCTTTATGGTATCTACAAGATTTACAGAATGATCCACATGCTTAATTTGAAAAATAAAAGTTTTAAACAAAACTGAGTGAATGCTAATATTACTTGAGAACTTACCTAAACAGTTCTGATTTTTGACAGTATATCCTGCTTTGCAGATTTCACATTGTACATTAAGGGTAGTTGTTAGCCAACTGCATTTTTGACAATTGTAAGGGCAGCTAACACAATCATTTGACTTTCTTCTTATAGCAAAATTTGTTAAACAATCTTCACACTTTTTGCAGCCAGGTAAACATTCTACAACAATTTTTAAATGTTATTAGAAGTAAAATCTAAATTAGGCTAAAAAATTCTTATAAAAAAATTTACTATGGCATTTTCCTTCTTTCATAAAATAACTGTCAATGCATTTTTCACAGAGAGTTGCATCAGCTGGATTACTTGTATCAGATTTTAATTTACAGAATCCAAGTGCACAAAAATCAGGACATTCTTGAATAAAATTTAATTTTATAACTCTTTTAAAAATGGAAAGAAGAAACTAACTGTAACAGCTCAATCTATCAACAGAATGAATTGTACCACTTTGACAAACTCCACAAGATTGTATCCTATCCCTGGTTTGCAATTAAAAATTTCATTCTTTGATACAAAAACTAAGTTAATATCTAAAAAAAGAAATCTCTGTTTTATCAATAAGATGAGAGATAATGTTTAATTTTTGTAGAATTACTTGTAAAACACCAGGCAATAAATAAAAATATCCTGTAATCCATTAGTGGAGTGAAATGTTTTTCCTCCATTTGAAGCAATCTGAGTTCTCTTAAACTAAATCAAGGAATATATACTTTTTACCCTTGTATATTTTTTTGAAGATCATTAGTTCAATTATTCCAAGAATTCTATTTATCAGCTGAGAAAGAAACAATTAACATATGAAAAAAGAACGCCCACTTGTAGTAGAGACATAGGCGTAACAACTTATGAATGTGTTTTCTTCTGAAGAGATATTCACTACCCACTTGACAACAACATTTTTGATTATATAAGTTTTTTATTTATTACAAATTGAGTTGCTATGATTTCATTTTTGAAGGGAATTGTTATATTATCATACCTTATTTGACAATTTTTATTTATTCTTTTTTTTTATAATTGGAAAATAGAAATATCATGAAATATGTATGCAAAATTTTTAAACAATCATAAAACATGCACCTCGTCAGACAATAAGTCAATGAACTCTAGGCATATTTATTGGCGTTATTGGTCTAGTGGAACTTGAATGAATATCTTATTTATAATTCAACTAATGTTCAAGTAAAACACATCTGCAAAATCTCTATATTATTTTAAAAAACACTAATTTAAAAAAGTCATTTAATAAGATATGTTCTATTTTTTTTAGTTTCTTTTATCTTTTGACTTTTATCTTTTGTTTTTTGTCTAAATGATTCTTAGAACATTTGAATTTTGAACAATTTTGACTTAGCAGACAATTGTTTCAACTTCCTTGTCAAAAAAAAAACAAACGAATTGTGAACATACTCTTTTACCATATCAGCATAATTTACCGCGGCACTGCTCTCATTTAATACAATAAAGAATATTAATATTTAAATATTAAAAAAAAAATCATTACTCTTATCTTCATAAATCAAACGATTACAGGACATTTCGTCCCTTTTGTATGGACATTTTGTCCATTTGGATATCAATTTAATCTTACATTTTTGGACATTAGCTTTGTTTTGTTAAAAACATATTGACTGTGTTAAATATTTATTGCAAATATTGTTAACTGATAATGACAAATTACAGAGAACAAAGTGTACTAAAACAGATATTTTACACATATAATGTAACTAATTGATCTTAAAGATTTTCTAGACTGGTTTCTCTTTCTTCAAACTGATCCCATTAATCAAAAGTAAAAATTTGTGTGCATGTCTAAGTTGTTGAGGTACTTGTAATCTTTTTAATTGAATATGAAAAATTCCTATGTAATAAAATATCATTTCCTTTTATGCTTCCTTTTTCTATAATTTGAAAATTATTATCATACATATCACTGAAACTCAATTCTTTGATTTGATCTAAAGATACTTCATGACAAATGTCTACTGGTTTTTCTCCTTGTCAACACTTTGTTCATTAACAAATGAAGAGTCAGTTACATCATTTTCAAAATCAAATGATAATCTTAGCCGAAAAAATTAAAGAGTTATTAAAAAGAATGATATAAATATTGAATTTTCACCTGATTTTCTTCTGTTAAATTATCTTCTCCAAAAGTTTCATTAACCAAAACAAGATTGTCATTTTACATTTTGTAAGAGTTACATTGTTTTCTCTTTTCTTCCAGTCTTCTTATCTTGATAACAGGTTTTTTTACATTGAAGCAATCATTGCAAAAGCTTTCATCTATTTTACAAGTCAGAGTTTTTAATAGAAAACCAACAGAATTGATGTACTTACTTTTTGAACTCTTTCTATGATAAAAGTGTTTATACAGTTTATATTTAGATTTGATTGGTTCCAAAAAGACTTTTTTAAGCAACACCAATAAGTTTTAAATTCATATGTGATGCCTTTAATCAACAGATAAGACAATAATCAAATATTCTTAAAAAAAATATTTGACATTAAAAATGATGTACTGCTCTGCTTTGGACAATTTAAAATAGTACTGGTTCTACTCAAACCATTAAAATAAATCTTTCATTCAAATGGTTTATTCAAAATAATACTTAAGCAAGTAATAATATAAAAGTTCAATAGTAGAATAGATAGTTTGTAGTAACAGGTTGTCAAATTACCAAACTAGTATCCAAAATGGAAGAGTATAAGACTTGCTCTAATTGAGCTTGTTTCCGAAAACGAAAAAGAACTGGCAGGAAAAGAAACAACCACCATCCAAAGTAATTCAGAACTAAAACAAAAGCCACTAGAACACAGAAAAACAGAAAACATTCGCACAGTGGGGTACGTTTGCACTCATGTATATTTGCACACTGGTACGTTTGCACCCCAATTTCTGTGTCTTCAGTGTTCGGTCTCCTTCATTGAGGAGTATTGGGAAAAACGGGACCGGTCGAAAACGGCCATAAATGAAATATTTGAAAGTTAGATTTCAGCCTGGGAAATGGTTAGGAGGAATAAGATAACTGTTGATATGTTCTTAGGAGGGTCCCATCTAAGGGTTAGGGGTATTCAAAAAGGTTAGGCAAAAACAAGGGCTGGGTTAGGGTTAGGGTAAAACCATAGATTTATGGCCGTTTTCTACCATATCCGGGAAAAATTACACCTACCCAAAACTCTATAATCCCTGATTGGAGAATGTATCTCTAATTTCATAATTTTCTATTGTATATTCGTTTACAAGAACTTTGTACAACTTGTTTGATTGTACAAAGTTTGAAGATTGTCAAAGAGGTTGAAAACTGAGACTAGTTTTTTTTTTCAAGACACCAAACACCTTAAATTTGACAATTATTTAATACTTTGATCACATTTAATCTGATAATTGAAATTATCATTTTTAATTAATTATATATATACATCTAAGCTCTCTCTATTTATCCGAAAGCTTCTCATTAAGATTATCATTGGGTCTTTTATTAAAAAGGCCGAATTGTTAATTGAATTTTTGATATTTATTGAAATATGAATTTACTAAATGAATAAAACTGTTAATAATCTCTGAAATTGGCTGCCTTATCAAATTTTTCTCTATCGGTGTTTAAATTTAATTGAAGTGAAAATCTCTGTCAAGATATTTATTATCTCATTATTAACATATAAAGGCAATAAGTTGAAAATTTTGAAAAAAACATTGCCATTTGGTAGTCAGCTTCAGTTTATGATCAACTTGATAATTTAAAATTGAGATATGAGTGATTCAAGATCAAATGGCTTTTCTGGAGAATGTCATCCTGAAATATTTACTGTACCACCAAAAGATGCAAAAGAACAAGGTCCATTGTCAAAAGAACAAGTTGATTTCTTTTTTAGGGAAGGTTATTTGGTGATAGAGGATTTTTTCGATATTGAAAATGATATTAATCCTTGTTTAAAGGCTATGGATTGTATTGTAGAGAATTGTGCAAGTATTCTATATAAAGCAGGGAAAATCACAAATAAGCATGAAGATAAAGGTTCTCATGAACGTTTGACATATTTGGCAAAAGAATATCCTGACGCCCCTGTCATTGCTTATAAATTTGGTGGTTTTCCAATAGAATTTAGAAACTTGTGGTCAAATGAACGTTTACTTGATGCCCTTGAACAGTTGCTTGGTCCTGATATTCAAGGTCATCCAAATTACTTGTTTCGTACCAAGATACCAAATAATCAAGCAAATGATCCATGGCATCAAGACAGTGCATATCTTGACATGGAAGCCTGCAAAGTCTTACAAATAACTGGTTGGATACCATTTATTGATGTTAATGAAACAAATTCATGTATGAAAGTAGTAAAAAGGAAAAGTAGCCTGTCACGAAGGCTGTTACAAAGATACTCCATATCTTGTATTAACAGAGTCTGAGATAGAAAGAACTTTGGGAGCAGATATGGAAAAGGATGTTGTTCTTTGTGAAATGCGAAAAGGAAGTATTTTATTATTTAACAATATGCTTCCACACACAAGCACAAATAATTTATCTAATGAAATTCGCTGGTCAATGGATGTACGTTGGCAATCATCAAAAGAAAAACTAGGATTTTGTAATAAGAAACCAGGTATTCTTATGCGAGATAGTCAAAATCCATTGCATAAAATTAATTGGTCAGAATTTGATACAATTAAACCATCAAATGTTGAACTTTTTGGTCTAACTGATGATGAAAATGATTTTGGTTCAATTATAACTGGACCGTATATGAAAAATTGGAATATGACAAACAAGAACAGACATGTTTTAGAGTTTTTTGCTAAAGAAAGTAGAAATTTTTAAACTAAATTGAAAATATTTTTGTTTTTTGTTTTGTATTTAATCAACATTTTGATTCTATTTTTATAATTTCTATATTGAATTCTATAGAACTACATCAATTTTCTTAGTTTATTGTTGATTTCTTGGCTTTTAAAAGAAATACAACTCCTGAGTATTTTAAACAATGGTTTGAAGGGACAAATTGTCAATTATGCTGAGAGATGGTGTGCAAAGGATGAAACCTGTCAACCTCAAAACAGAATTAAAAACTGTTGAAAAAAATAATACTGTATTTTCCAAATAACTTTTTTATCCTATCTTTTTTTTGGCCTATACTATTCTGTGAACTAGAAATTGAGTATAATGATAGATAATACAAACATATAATTAATAAAATTTTTTAAAGATAGATAGCTGTTGATAATAAGTAAATTGCTTAAATTATTAACAATTGCTATTGGCTTGGCTTAGAATTTAAAATGAAACATTTGCGTAGGTGTCTACATTTCGCCTACGCATTAAAAACGGTTGCTTCATTAGAAATAATTTGGAGCTATTGTTTGTAATTCTGGAGAATTGTATTAAAAAAATTGCGTATTTCAGCAAGAAAAAAGAACTATAAGAGGCCATAAAGATAATTTATAAAATCACTTAAGTGCTTCCCCTGTTCACTTTAACAGAGAGTTGGAAGAGAGGAATGAAAGCAGAAATGTTTAAAACTGTTCAAGGAAGCTTTTTATTAATTTTGGTAAATACTAATATATTGCTGTATTTGTTTTTTTTTCTATATATATTTAGAATACATTTCATTCAACAGATTGCGCAATACAAATATGGCGTCAAAAGTGATGAATGTACAAACAATTTGTTAAAGGACAATATGAAATTATTGAAAAATGATTTAACACAAAAAATTGATAATTTAATCAGTTTGTACCAGAATCTTTTTCAAGTGCTTGTCTTTAGTTTATTTATATATTTTTATCAGGTTTTGTCAACAATGACAGATTTCCAAAACAGGGTAATTCTATTAATACTTTCTTCATAAACCATTCCATGCAATAAAAAATTTTCATTTCTCTCTAAATATTCCTTATAGAACAAATTGAATGTCAAGGACAGATTACATTAAATCAAAATTCAGACAGTAAAAATTTTATGGGATATGTCATCTCTTCAAAGAACAATCCAAAAAATTATCCAAATAATCATTTCTGTATGATAATTATGAATGTCAAGGACACATTTAATGGGGTTTGTATTTTTTTATAAATGGATAATAAGGGCTCAAATAAATTAATGATAATTGCTATCATCTATTTTTATGTATAGTATATAGAATTGACATTTGATGAATTCCACCTTGAATATTCAAAAAATTGCAAATACGATTATCTAACGATTTCGGATGATAAACAAAAAATAAATTTTTGTGGAAAAGGCTTAACCAGTTAAGAATATCTTCTTTTCTGCAAACATTCTTTTCAAATTATGAATTCCTTTTACACATTTAGATTCAACTATTAATTCTATGGATAAAGATAATTTCTTTGCAAGTGGAAAATATCAGCCAATAATTAATAAAACTTTTAAAATTAAACCCAATGGATCATTAGTCATGCTTTTTAAAAGTGGTAAAAAATTTTCTAATTCTGGATTTGTATTGAAAGCCAAATTTAGAAATGACAACTTTAAGTGTAATGGAAATACAAGAACCAAAAATGAAGCTAATACTTTAAAGACAATCAGTAAACACAGTTGTAAAGAATTGTCAACTAATAACAAATCTAATACAACAACAACTGAAAATAATGGTAGTGTTACTATGGAAACAAATTAACAATAAAACTTAAATAATGTCAAAATTTCTACCAGATACTCAAACGAATAAACAAATTTTATGCAAAAGGAATAAAGTTAATATTGAAATGGACTGTAATACGAAAAGTTTTACAATAATAGCTCCATGGAGTAGATATAAAACTCGGTGTACAGTTAATCTATCTATAACCAAGAGCAATTTGGTGAGTAGTTGCTGGCATTCTAAATTCAGAAAATTCAACTGAAAAATCTGTTTACCACTTAGGAAGTGGAAATTGAATTTCTCCAATTCAATCTAGTGAAATATGGCGGACTTGATACTGCTATGGCCGATATCCTTGAATTTACTCAAGGTGACCGCAATATTCAGTATTCTGGAGTAGCAAATCAAGTGGGGTAACTACCTTACAATTTACTAACATTTAACCCTAACCATAAACTATACCTTATTAGCTTTATCATAACCTATATCTCGACCTTACCCAATCAGAGTTCAACATTAAAATATGGTTAATATACTACTACTCTTTTTTTTATTCCAGCATAGGAAGGAAACGAATTGACATTTTTACTGGACAAAGAGTAAGACCTCCCAAACTCCGAACAACATATTATGCTCCCGGACCTGGAGATTTAAACATCAATTATTTTGAGATGACTGAAGGTGGTGGAAGAAACTTTAAAATGATTGTACGTCCAAAATGTACATCATAGAGCCCTAGTGCCCTCCATTTGCTCCGCAGCTGTGCTTGCCCTAAATTTACATATAGATATATAAATTTTTACTTTAAAACATATATAAGAATTAGTTGCTTTTAAATTCATTTCAAATAAAGCGATCAATTGCAATCATCAAGACTGATTGGCAGATCCTAAATCTAACTGCTAACCCTAACTCTGTTGCCTTATACAAAATTAAAAATTTTTGAATAGTATAACTTTTTTGTCCTATTTTTTTGGCCTATGCAATTCTGTGAGCTAAAAATAGAATACAGTGATAGACAACATACATATAATTGATTCAAATTGTTGGAGATAGGCAGCCTGTTGATAATCAGTAAATTTGCTTCAGTTTATTAACAAGTATTATTGGCTTGGCTTAGAATTAAAAATGAAACATATGCGTCTACATTTAGCCTATGAAATAAAAAAAAACGTTGCATTGTTAATAATAATTAGGAGCTGTTGTTTATAATTCTGGAGAATCGTATTAAAAAAATTGTCTAATTCAGCAAAAAAAGTATATACAATAGCGACCAAATGCCTTTAAGGCACAGTTTTAAATTCAATAAAAAGTTGGGGTGTCACTGTTCAATGATGAGCAATGTCCAAGAAACATTTAGATGGAGGACAATAAAATAAGCCAAAATAGTATACCGAACTGACGCGAAGTTAGAGGAGTTAGTAGAAATTAAATTTTACAACTAAATAACCTAGTGTTATACCGAGACCAATAAGCAATATTTGAATGAATAATATGTTAATCTCATCCTACTTCTACTTAAATTACACCTGGTTAGGGCTAAACGCTGACCAGATGTAATTGTTTGGGGTTGACAGAAAAAGAGAAATATAAAGCATAGATTTTGAATTGTAAACTGGTTAAGAAAGCGAAATCGATCTGTAATAAAGTGGGTCTCATCTAAAGGTTAAGGTAAAAGCACCAAATTTTGGACATTTTTTGTCGCATTTCTTATTTTAAAATCTCTAGCAGGTCAACAAAGATTTTTTACCCTAAGCTCTAAGCTTTAGTTGATAAATATATTTTCTTGAATAGGTAATCCTAGAGCTAATCATAATTTGCACTAAAATGCTCTTAGTTCACATTATTCTATAAGTTGTTGTTCTTTTGCTGGATATTACTTTTTAGAAATCTAATTTGGCTATAAACAGTATACATCTTGAATAATTGATGAATCAAATTACAGAGGTGAACTAGAATAATAACTAAAGAATTAAAGGACTAGGGTTCTAATTAGGGTACATTAAAATAAGACTTGCATGTGATGATGTATTGAAATCTTGCCACAACAAACGACTAAAGATAGGCTAACTGCATAGACCTATGATGACCCAATTAATCTTAGATCATTGGCAAGGTATGTTTTGTATGATAAGAATAGAGATAGAACTTTAAATCACACTGAATTTCGAGAGGTAAAGTATATTTTTTGTCTCACAAGGCAATCCCCCTCTCTCTCTCTCTCTCTCTCTCTCTCTCTCTCTCTCTCTTTCTCTCCAAGTATATTCAAATTCCACTCTCCTCTAGACCATGCAGTCTTTCTCGTTTCATGTGTGATAGACAATAAAATTGACCACATTGTTTATTTATGACTATAGAGACTGTTTTGAAAACAGTAGGAGAGTATAGCCAGTATATAGACTTAGAAAATATAATCTTACAAAAATATAAATCCTAACACTAAAAAGTTACTCAATTTTTTATTAATAAATGTATAGAAAAGATCTCTTTACAAATATAATCACTTGTGAAAGAAGTTGCAGGAGGCACTACTATATGTTTTTAACCTTCACCTTTCAAATTTAATGCCAGTTAAGTTTTAAGTAACGTTTCCAACTTTTCTTTTTTAAGGGTTTACGCACTTATGGCATCAAGGCTAGTCAAGAAGAATTGACTCAACTGTTTGCCTATTTCGATAAAGATGGCAGTGGTTCGATCAAATGGGATGAATTCATGGAAAGTTTTAGGGTTAGATCAATTTTGTTCTCTCTCGTTTTTGCTTTTTCACAGTTCAACATCCATTTAAATGTTTATAACCCTATTAATCAATATAATGTTAACTAATGTAAAGTTTTCTTCTATGTTTCAACAGTCTGAAGTGAGTGAGGCAAGAAAAAGCCTGATTGTGGCAGCTTTTGAAAAGTTGGATGTTAACAAAAATGGAGTAATTTCAGTGGACGATTTGAAAAATCGTTTCGATTACAGAAAGGATCCAAAATATATGTCAGGAGAATGGAGTGCGAATAGAGTTTATAAGGAACTCTTGAAAATATATGATGGAGAACAAAGCGATGGAGTGGTAAAATAACTTTTGTGTATTTTCATTTTTTCTTAATCAATCAATTAACAATTTTTAAAAAGGTAACTCTAAACGAATTTATGGACTACTACACGAATTTGAGCAATCATATACCCGATGATTCTCTCTTCGAAATGATGATGAAAAATTCTTTCAAGTAAAAGAAATTTTCCAGGAATATTTTGAGATATCCTTAATCGATTGAAAAATACAAAAATGACAAACAAAACTGTTGATTGTTCAAAAATTATAGTCATTTGAAAAGTGTCCATGAGAATGCTGTCTGCTCAAAAACTATACTGTATGTACTTTCCTGCTGAGGTTGTAGGTAAGTACTGGTCCAAATAGAACCGAACCAGGAGTAAGCCACTTAGAAGAGAGATGTAGAATTGATGAAGGATGAATATAGAACCAAACCGTAAGAATAATATAACTGTATTCTAAAGTAATACTAGACCTGTTCACTAAGGGAGTTGATTCAGGACTGAATGCCTGTTACTGCCTATGCCCTGCTTTTATACAATTCCTTATCAGTTGTTTATGCATTGGCTGTCAACAACAAGGGTCTAACCCCAGATAAGGATTGTTCACAACAAACAGGGTCAAGGGTTATCATATTATGCAATAGTGATGTAAACAACAACAACTTTGTGTAGGTTACCTGTCAAGGGTCAATTCTTACACAATATTTATGTAAATAAACACTTGTTGTTGTTGTCAACATGTTTGTTATGTAACATCTTATCCTTTGCTTATAAAAGGGGTTGATTCTGGCAGTTCGGTACCATCTACCCTAGATTCAACATCTACTTCAACACTTCTACCATATAGTAAGTATCATTTATAAAATATCTATAAACTATAGTTCATAAGTGTACAGACTTCTCCTCTCCTTAAAGCATCATTCCACTGATGGTTCAACATTGGCAATAATAACTTGACCTTTCCTGCTGCTGACAACTCTTAAGGGTTGGTCTTCCTCAATGGATTTGATGTCATTTGTTTTTCTGAATCTGTTTAGTATTCTTTGTGTTACATTTTTATGTAATCCTTTCATCTTTATCCAATACAATATCATTCCAATTGCACCAGTTGTTGTTGCAGGAATAAGGAAATTGATAATAGTTTGTAGTGGTTTCTTTGTCCAAGCCATAAAATATCTTCTAGATTTAGTTACTGCAGGGTCAATGCCAATTTGTTTTGCATAATTTAGTTGATCTGAATGTTGATCAAGCTTATTTGTCATATAATCCAATACTTGCTGTAGCTGTACACCCTTTTTTCCAACGTCTTCTTTGATACCTAATTTCAAAAGTTCTGAGAGTCTTTCAATGTCTAATTGAGGTTCTTCCAGGTTATTAGAAATCTTTAATCTTATTGATTGAGCAGCAACTTTCCTGAATTTGCATCCATTTGTAGAATAATGAATAAATATTTTCTGTTCATTATTACTCTGGCTATCCAAAGGATTATCTTTTACCTTGAATAGATTTTGTTCAGTGTTACATTCGCCATATATTATATCTTTTAAGCTGATTTCACGTATCTGATGGGTTATGGGCTCCACTGAGAATATTAACTCCTTATACTTGGCCAATAGTTGCTTTGAGCATTTACCATCTTTCACAATAATGTTCAAGTCACATATGATCTGAATAGATTTGTGTTGTGTACAATAATTAATTGTTGTGAGGTCTCCCAGCCAAGTGCTATGTGTTCCTTTCTCTTCAGATAAAACTGTTGGTAACTGAGGTGAGATAGGACTTAGTAGAGTTATCATTCTATTCCTCTGCACAAATGCTCTACATAACATTCTTGAGAGCTGGTTAAAGGTTTCTTGTAAGTTGATGAAATTTCTGTCAACTGATTTTAGAAATGCTGCTGTTCTTACTGCATCCTTAATATTTATGGGTTCTTCCATGCGCCCTTGTTCCACTTTGGTGATTTTTATTTTCATCTCTTTTTCTTCTTCTGATTTTGCAACTCTTTCTAGTAGGAGATATCCTAATTTTCTTTTAGTCAACTTAAACTGCTTCCCTTGAGGTCCTTGAAACCAAACATCTGTGTTTGGCAACAATTTTTCTTCAACAAATTTGTGGGTAACTTTGTACTCATCTTTTCTTGACTCCTTTGCAATGGGCAAGGTTACTTTCTTTAACATTTTTCCAATATATGCATTTTGTATACTCCATACATCTGGTGCTATAGGTTGCTTTAATTGGTATGTTCTGACTACAGCATGACCAGAGATTTTAATCATCATATGATATGTTTTATCTCCTTCCCTATACCAATCTCTAAATGTTGGTATACTTTCATGGTCTTTCTGAAGAGCATTCCTTAGCATTAAACTCTTTGACTGGTACTTTTTCAAATAAACTACTCCCTCTTCTGACGCCAGCTTGAATACTGCATTCTTTAGCATTTCATCATCTTGGTACCCAGATGTTGATAAATCTGTTCTCAGAAGTTGGTTTTCTTCGATAGGAACCAGAACTTTTGTACCTGGCCCTCCAAATCCTTCTATGAAACTATCTTTATAGTATTTATCCATAATAGTATATTCAGGACAGGAGTAATATCCTGCAAACTTTATACATGATATCCTTCTTGAAATCACTCTCCATGGTGATTCTTGTCCCATGATTCTATTATCTTTTAACAATTGGAGGATAATAACTGAATTTATAGTTCTGCAAAATCTTTGTTGGACTGGACAATCTTCAACAAAATCAAGATCTGTTGTTACATAGTTTTGATAAGGTAACCAGTATGCTTTTCCAACTTGTATAATTGTAGTATATTCTATAACTAAAGTTGTTGATGGGTATTTATAGGCTGTTCCTTTCCTTTCATTATAAGTCCAAATATTTCCTTTGTTATAAAGCTTCTGCCGAGAGTAAGCTTTCTTCTCTTGATACATCTTTCTGCATTCTTCTTCTGACAATCTAACAATGAATTTTTCAACTTTGTGCTTCTTTGAACCAAAAAAATATAAGTGTAGAAGTTCTCTCTATAAAGAATCCCTTTGATCCATTAGTTATCCCCACATACAGTACCGGCGGTAAGTCACTGTTACACCTCAAAAAAATAATATTTTCTTGATTTTTTCTCTTTCCACGCCTAAAGAATGAAAATGAAGGATATTACTATATTTAATAATATTCTTCTTATCATTATAGAAAGAAAATATATGTTTTTAATTTAAAATCTCAGAAATATGATCACTTTAATGTGATAGGCCTATTTATGGAAAAGCACAAGCATCAGTTATGTTCAAAAAATTTACCCTGATCATTGAGTAGTGTCACTTTTAACCAGATTTTAAGGTCATTTATGTGTTTGCGCATGTGTAATCTAACAGTTGACAAATTTAAAATAAAAATGGTGAAGCTATCTGAAGCAACAAGAATTTCTATCTTAAATTGTCTTCAAAGACCTGAAATGTCCATTCGAAAAGTGGTAAAGCTTTTTAAATGTAGTCCAACTACTGTACAAAACATAAAAAATAAATTTAAAGACCTAAAAACTGTCAAAGATAAACAAAGAAGTGGTAGACCAAAAACAGTGACACCAAAAATGGAAAGGCAAATTTATATAACTCTGGCATACCTATATCTCTGTCTCTTACAACAGTGAAGAAAGTACTCGGAAAAAATAATTAAATGGAAGGATTGCAGCCAAAACACCTGTTTTATGCAAGAGGCAGATAATAAGTAGGAAAGAGTTCTGTAGAGAGAGAGAAAAGTGGGGTATTGAAAATTGGAAAAAAGTAATTTTTTCTGATGAATCAAAGGTTGAGCTGCATCCCAGGAGGAAGGAGTTTGTTAGGAGGCCACCAGGTAAATGGAACGGATGCGACAGAAAACGTCCACAAATCAGTGCTTTTACCCTAACCCTAACCCAGCCCTTACCTGTACCTAACCTTTTCCATTACCCCTAACCCTTAGGGGAGACCCTCCTAAGTACAAATAAGTTGCTGTTTTCTTTTGCCTAACCATTTCCCAATCCAAATTTTTGTCTTGAAATTTCTCATTTGTGGACATTTTCTGTCAACCCCAAATGGAACGATCCCAAATATACCACAAAAACAGTAAAATTTGGGGGAGGGAATATCATGGTATTCGGCTACATTAAGTTCATGAAGATAGGGACGTAGCTTTACTGTCTAATCATATGACAACTTCATATCCTGTAAATAACAGTCAAAATAAGAACAAAAAAATACTTTTTATATTCTTTTAGATTAATTTTTGTGATTTGACTTATGCTCCCACTGAAAATAGGCCTACTGCATTAAAATATCAATAATTCAGAGATTTGAAATGAAAAATGTATATTTTCTCTCTATAATGATAAATAAATAAATAAGAATATTATTAAAATATAATAATATCCTTCATTTTCATTCTTTAACTATGGAAAGAGAAAAAATCAAGAAAATATTATTTTTTTGAGGTGTAACAGTGACTTACCGCCAGTACTGGGGGGCTGTTGAAAACGCTCATTTTGCAGTTATTTTGGGGTGAGATTTTGGGTTGGGAAAGGGTTAGGAAAAATGTTCTGACAATTGATTTGTAATTAGGTGGGTCCAAACTAAGGGTTAGGAACAATGAAGCGCTTAAAAAAGGGTCCAGGGCTGGGTTAGGGTTAGGGTAAAACCACAAAACTGTGGGCGTTTTCCCTTTAATTGAGGGAGGATGAATATAGAACCAAAACGTAAGAATAATATAACTGTATTCTAAAGTAATACTAGACCTGTTCACTAAGGGAGTTGATTCAGGACTGAATGCCTGTTACTACCTATACCCTGCTTTTATACAATTCCTTATCAGTTGTTTATGCCTTAGCTGTCAACAACAAGGGTCTAACCCCAGATAAGGATTGTTCACAACAAAACAGGATCAAGGGTTATCAAATTATGCAATAGCGATGTAAACAACAACAACAACTTTGTGTATGTTACCCCTCGAAGGTCAATTGTTACATCATATTTATGAAAATAAACACTTGTTGTTGTCAACATATTTGATTATGTAATATCTTATCCTTTGCCTATAAAAGGGGTTGATTCTGGCAGTTCAGTACCATCTACCCCAGAGGTAACATCTACTTCAACACTTCTACCATATGGTAAGTATTATTTACAAAATATCTATAAACTATAGTTCATAAGTGTACAATACTGTTAATCTTAAAAAGTAACTTGAATGAATGTTTGGGTTTATATTTTCTTCTATTTCGAAATGTAGGATAAGGTGATTACTGTAGAGTATTGAAGGTATAACACTCTCTAAAAACGTACAGAATAGCATCAAAGATACCTTTGAACTTAGTAAATAAGCAGCTGTCTAGTTGTATACAATCATATAAACTTTGTCTTAAACAACAATCAATAAAGTAGATTATATAACAGAAAACAGCAAAGAGCTGATACTAGCCTAGTTTTTTCATTGTTGTGCTCAAATTACTACTAGAATTGTAATATCTTATCTAACTTTCTAATCTTCAAATAATACAGTCAAGGAATAATTTTTTCTATCAGATCGCATTGAGATCTTGCAAAAAAAGACCTACCAAATTGAATTTAATACAAAAATTTTAAAAATTGTTGATGGTTCTTTAAAAAAAATCTTGAGAACATTTAATCTTTAGTCGATGTAATTTATGTTTTAGAAATTTTATTTGCTAATCTCTTATCAGAAGTTCTTGCGATTAGAAACTTTGACCTATTAACAATCAATCAAAATTTTGGCAAAGAAATGCTTTTTCCGAAGTTGTCTTGGTGTTATTGAGATTTTGAAGAAGAGATTTAGGAAAATAAGCATTGCCAAAGAAATTTGATATAAAATTTACCTCTTTTTTCTGTTTGGTGTTTGTTTAAAAAGGAGATTATTATTATCTTTTCAGTATCACATTTTGATTCAAGATGGATAAAGAAAGTCTATAAATATACAATTAATGACCTACTAGTTTCAGTCGCTAATCGGACAACGATGTTAAGGTCTTATAGATTTCTCAAAGTCGTTAGACACCTGACACTTTCTCTAAGGTATCAAAGTACTGCTGATAAAATTCAAGCACTTGGACCCATTTCTCCAGCTTTATTGGAATCCACAGGGTTGATTAAAAAAGCTTTGGGAGATGTATACTTTGACAGTTTAAAGGGAGATATTGATTTCTCTTCTTGCGATTATTTAAGCTATTCAGCTCATCCCTATCTTAACCAAATTGATGGTAGTTCCATTGTTAAACATGGAAGAATTAGCTTTAATCGTTCCAGCTGCTACAATCGACATCCCAATTCAAAGGTGACCAAATTGGAAGAAGTCATCTCGGAACACGCAGGTGGACATAAAACTATATTTGTCAACTCTGGTACGGAAGCAAACCAAGTTGCATTTCAAGTAATTTTACAGGATAGACCGGAAGTACCAATCTATTTAGATAAATATTCCCATCCCACAATGGATCTTGGAGCAAAGGCAATAGGTAGATACAACTCTCTATATTTCAATCACTGCGATGTCGACCACCTGAGAGAACTTATTAGGGCTAATGGGCCTGGATTAGTTGGAGTTGATTCAGTCTATTCCGCCTTCGGAACAATGGCACCCATTGAAAAAATAGCGCAGCTCTGTAAAGAAACTGGTTGTATATTTTTGGTTGATGAAAGTCATTCTTACGGTATTTATAACGAAGATGGAGGAGGTTTAGTAAAACAATTAGGTCTTGAAGATGATATACCTATTAGAACTTTCTCAACTGGAAAGGCTATGGGTGCTGGTGGTGGTGCCGTAGTTCTTAACAAAGTCGCTGGAGAGTATATTGATGACATTCGAAAAGGATCAAATATGTCCATTTTCACTCTGGCCGCTCAGGACTGTCTTGCCGAACGATTAATTGAAACTGTAAAATTAGTAAAGACCGAAAAATGGAGACGAGATGATCTATTCGATAAAATCAAATACTTTAAAGAGTCTTGTATAGAATTAGGCTACAACGGCGTATTAATCCGTGACGACAACACGCTAATTCCAACATTTATTGTTGGATCATTAGATTTAGTTTTAGAAATGAATGACGACTTTATTAAAGAGCAAATGTTTCCCGCACCTGACCTTTATCCGTCTGCAACAGAAAAAAATGCTGCCATTAGATTTGCGATAAATCACACATTAACATATCCGCAAATCAATCGCGCATTAAACCTTCTGAAATTGTTCAGAAACAAGTACAAGCCGGAAACGTGGCCAGATGCTAATCCAAATGCAGTCTTATTTTAAATGAATAGAACAAAAAGACTATTATTGAATAGACATTTTGTACAATTTATTGTGTATAATTTTTTGGCATTAGTTTGACTGAGATATACCGTATAATAAAAATTTCTATCTAATAACATGGAATACCATTCTGCAATGAATAGCCATTTCAGTTAAATATCTGTAACAGTCTGTAACATATTTAATTCTATTGGACTTATGGCGCTTCTTAAAAGTAGGCCAATAGTTGATCTATATCAGTTCTGAATCAATATCACGCAATACTACTTTAATAATACTTATCTATAGCAAGATAGATCTTCACACTAACTCTAAAAAAGCCCCAAACCCAGCCCTAAACTTTACACTAAAATTTCTATGCATTTTTTATACTTAAATTATCTATTTATCTAATTATCTAAGTCCTTTTTAAGGGGATTTGGAAGAAAATGTCTCGTTTTGTTGTGTTTTGCCCTATCCCTAATCCCATGGAAATTTAGACAAAAAAACAAATTTAAAACAAACATAACATTTTTGGGGTGTTTTAAAAAATTTTTAATCTTCAGCCTATCAAAATTTACAGTGTCCGGGTATTTTAGGCCTTTACTTTGTATTCACCAAAATGACTATTTTAAAAGAGTATATAAACCCTATGAAATTAACAGTTGATAGTTCAGTTCTCTAACCGTCAGCTGGTTGTTAAACTAGCTTGTTTAGAACTAGAAGCTCATTTTACTCAATACATATTCTTTGGACGAAATACTCGTGTTTTGTTGATTAATTTCTACCGAAATTGCATTTGTTAGACTATTTGTGGACAAACTTTAAAGGTTCTATTTGGACCAGTACTTTGGCAAGTTGGTAAATGATTGGAAAGGACGATTACAGTTGTGATGAACCAGAAATTCCTATAATTACAATACAACAAAGTACAAATACCGATTGTCTTTTTACAAGATTTTGTTTATTGCTTGTATCACGGAATTGCGAACAATTCCGTATAAAATTGTATTTAAGGTACTCTTGGTCTCTCACACCATTCTATTACATTCACTTCCTTTTATATCTTGCTAGCGTCACTTAACTGAGTGTTTGATTGTGCTCATTCGTGTTGCCACGTTCGTGCCACATTGTGCCACATCGTTATTTAACTGGTGATATGACATCAAGTTGACTAGACTGTCCCGGCTTTAGGCTAAGTCAAACTCCCTTCTTAAGTGACGCTCACATACTGACATACATCCACTGACTTACATTCATACATAACATGCAACGTTCTGTTCAGTCTTAATTTCATTTTTTACAAAAAAGTCAAGAGCAGAAAAGTGAGTTACACATACATGAAATATAATTCTTTATCCTATATGCCTGAAATGACATGCATTTAATGAGTACGAGTATTTGATAACTGTACAATTAGATTATAAAAAAAATTTTGATTAAGGTCAAAAACTAGTATTAGAAAAGATAATGATAAGTTATCATTGAGTTTATTTTCTGTGACAGTGTTATAGAACTTCAAGTTCACCGCCAAAGAAATTTTTTCTGATTAAAATTAAGTGTTTAAATAAGGGTTGAGAAAAAATATCCTTAAATGGGGAATTTCAAATCTAGATTTTGGTTTGAAAGTGGCTTAGGAAGAATAAAAGGGTGGGGGCGCGAACGTCCCCTTGGAAGGTTGAAACCTACCTCAATATATTTATATATTTATGTCACCGATCTAAGTTACTTTGATTTTGGATAATGTTAGAAAAAGATAAATGAACACACAATTTCCGTTGATAGCAGGAGCTATCCTGCAGTACATTTCCTTAGAAATGCAGTTCCATTTATACAGTCACGACAATAAGTAATTAGTACAAAGAAAAAAGGTTTTATAAGGTAATTATAAAATTTCTTGTGCTGTCCAGTTTGGTTTAAATCTTCATTTTTTTGTAATCTAAAATTCCATTTTCCTTGTTATTGTTTGTGATCTGGGAGATAATAACTCTTAATTGTAACGTCATAGCAACTGTCTTCAAATTACTTAATAGCTTGTGAAGTAATCTAGACTATAAACATATTTTGGTCGTCAAAAAATTCACATGTTTAAAACTTTTTATCCCTTGTTATAATTACTTATTGTCGTGACTGTATTATAGAATTATGATATGTATCACATGAAATGGCATCTTTAAACACTTCATTCATTCTTTTTCAATAGAATAAATTGTAAGATGTACTTTTCCCTTTTTAAAATATGTTTTCACTAAATGTGAAATAACTAACATCGTCTTGTTGATATTGATTATTCACAATAATATCACTGTGAAGAAATTATCTTGTGTAAAGATAATTTCAAAATCAATTTCATTTAGTTGTTGTGATCTTAACTTTTGTCTATTAATATGACAACATATATGTTAATATAAAATACACAAATTTTGAGCAATTTTTGTATTTTGTGTCATTTAACATATTTATTAACAATTCCAATCAAACATCAATGAGCAGATATATTAATATATATATATTAGGGTCACCCGGAAAATTCTCGCCGTTTGTGTCTAACAGCTAAAAAAAAATTACAAAATATGCTTATTCATAAATGTTAATTAATGTCCTAGGTATGTCTATTTAGCTTCAAATTCCCCATTATTGTCAATGCATGTTTGCCACCTGGCGGGAAGCATATCAATTCCTTTGGCGAAGTATAAGAGCGGTTTGGACCTAAAAAAGGCCCTGACTGCTGTTTTTAATTCATCATCATTTTCAAATATTTGTCTGCAAAGATGGTCCTTCAATTTCCAGAAAAGATAATAGTCTGATGGAGCAAGATCTGGGCTGTAGGCTGGATGAGGCAGCATTACCCATCCAGTTGTTTGAAGATATTGGCTTGTTTGTAGGCTGGTGTGAGATCTGGCATTGTCTTGCAAAAAAATCACTTCTCTATTAGGCCTGATTCTATTTATTCTTTGTTTTAATCGCTTTAGAATGTTGATGCAAATTTCTGAATTTATTCTGATATGTGAATTTAGAAATTCCAGGTGAATAAGCCCTTCCCTATACCAAAACACACATGCCATTAGTTTGTCTGCTGACTTACCTGCCTCAACCTTTTTTGGTGGTGGTGATAGTTTTGTATGGTATTCTAAAGAAACTCTTTTAGTTAATGATTCATGATAGAATACCCATGTTTCATCTCCTGTAACAATTTTTGACATAAAATTCTCTCCTTCACCATACTTTTCTAGGAATTCTGTAGACCTCTCCACCCTTATGTCTTTCTGTTCCCAATTAAGTTGGTAGGGAATCTATCTTGAGATAATCTTTTTCAATCCAAGACTTGTAATCAAACCTTCAACAACTGAATGGCCTATATTCAATGTTTGAGATAACTCAGCCTGGCTTATTCTCCTATTATATCTGATTAGAGCCATAACTCTGTCCTTATTTCATTGATACTGACTGTTCTTGTGCATCCTGGTCTGTCTTCATCAAGAATATTTGTTCTTCCTCCTTTAAATTCTTTAACCCACTTTCTTACTGAACCTTTCCTAAGTGTTGTACTATCAAAAAAACTTTTGATTGCTTATGAATATTGATTGCAATAACTTGTGATACAAGAAATTGAATAATTACTCTCTGCTTTATACCTTAAAAATTTATTACTCAATAAAAAAGATGTTGAAAATCTATTTTTTTAACAGAAAAGAACATTGAAATGCTGTTCAAGTTTCTAGAATAGGGGTGAAACCGTACCCGGGTTTTTATTTTTGTAGGTTCCATTATTACAATTCAAAATAATAAAATTAAAAAGACCTAATATTTTTATGGGTACGATTTCACTCAGGTATGGTGTCACACTGGTACGGTTTCACCCGCTACCAATTTTCTACCATCAAACAAAACTGAAATAATCAATTTCTGTGAATGTGATCAATTGGACTTTAAAATGGATGATAAAAATTCTGAAAAATTTTACAGAATTGACAGAATTTATGCCTATGCCACTCAAATTAAAAACTCTGGTGAGATATTAATAACAGTAATTACTAATAATCTTAATAATCTGGAAATAAAAATCTTAATCATTGTAGTTTAAAGTTTTATTCACAAAAATTAGTGACATTACTTAAGAATTGTGCATTTTTGAGAGTGTTAGAGTTGCTGGGAAATACTTTATATCTCCAAGGAATAGGAAATGATATTTCAATGGTAAAAAAATTGTTCTAACTACGGAACTAATGGTAATATAGTGAGAATATCATAATTAATAATGAATATATATTTATGAAAATGTCTCCAAAATGTAAAAAGCTAAGGATGTTATACAAAGTTTAAAAGTTACTAGAATACAAACAAAGTATGTTCATAAATTTAAAAGTGCCACCTAAATAGCATACTTTAGTTTTACATAACAAAGACAGCTTTTTTAAATCTATGAATTTATTAAATGCTTAAATATTTTCCTTTAAACGGGATACGATTTCAATCAACCCCCATTTTCTTAGTTCTTCTCTTTACTCATCTCTTCTTTACATCTGATGTACTCGAAATTTTCTTTTCACAATCCATTGAGTGCAATCCATAGAAGTTGACATTTTTGTATTTTTTGCATTTTGTGCCTAATTTCGCAAACTGTAACTGTTATACTACTGATCATCACGCATCTTTGCAATTCTATACTGCTTAAAGAGTCTATAAAAAACAAGAAACAATAATATAATGCCATTCTTTTGCTAGAGACTATCAAAATGCCTTTGTTTGGGTAAACATGAAGAAGGTGGGCATTTTCAGCAGGCAAAATCTAAACACGAAATACTTATATGATCAGTTGAAAATTGCCGATCAAGTCTGGACCTCATGACATTTTTAGCGAAACTTTCTTCAAACTTTCCCACAATGGTTGACAAGAGTGGATTTTCCAGAAATCTAACTTTGTCTTCAAAGGATATTCCAACTAACCTTCCTCCTTTTATCCAGATGCCAAATTTATTAACTGAAGTCATTAATTATTACTGTTACAGTAGAATACAAAAATGATCAAATATACAATGCTTATAGTTTCTTCATTGTTGGACTTGTATCAAAATTGTTACATTTTATGTAACTCTTCAACTTTCGAAAATCAACTATTATTTACAAGAAGACATCAATAAAAACATGACCATATTTTTGAATTTTTCCTTGTCTTAAATTGTCACTAATGTTTTTATAAACATTGAAATTCGTCAACCTTCAAGTCTTTAAAGAGTGTTTAAACCCTGAGAAATTAACAGCTGATAGTTCAGTTCTCCAATCATCAGCTTGCCATCTAAACTAGTCTGTTTAGAACTAGAAGCTCACTTTAGTCAATACATTTTCTTTGAACAAAATACAAGTGTTTAAATTACATTTATTAAGATTATTTGTGGACAAGTTTAAAAGGTTCTATTTGTTTGAGTACTTCTTTTGTCTTGGTTGCCTTCATTAACAATAACCTGTCAAACTATTTTTCTCTTTCCTTTATATAAATGTTTTATGAAATCTGTATTTCTATTATTGATTTTTTCTC